TGAGGGATGAGGCATCGAAATTTGGACCTGGAATGCATATGGGCCTCCTAGTGTTCACTTGGGCACTGGCATTAGTAGGATGAGAGTTGTTCCCTGCACTCACACGAGATTTCCTTAGTTTAGTGTAACATTTTTCGAGAGAGAGATAAAAAATGGAAAATTTCAGGTGCCTGATTGTGATGGGATTGAGCTCATAAACATACAATTGAGAGTATTTTCTTCATTCATCAAATTAATAGCTTCTTCCATGGGAAACCTGTGCTCTCTGTTCTGATTATGCTCTCCACCATTGCTCCAATATAAGCTTTGAGATGTTTGAGCAACTTCGATGGGGGATGAATCAAGTCTCCAGGGGTACACACCGGGAGTCTGAGTCGAATAACCCCCCATGCATTGCACTTGGTGTTTATGCACCATTGCAAAACATCGATCTTTTAGGGTAGATTCCATCCGAGCATTGGCATTGGTAGGTAGGTTTTTCTTCACCACAGCAAAAGATGGACGGGAGTTGTTCACTGCACTCAAACAAAATATTTAATTAGATTTTTAAAAAATCATTCTAAAACAGAAGAAATTTTAAAGTGCAGATGAATTGTTTCTATAGATATGTGATTTAGAGCATTTTCATCAATGGACGCATATAGTTTTCTGTTTCTAAAGTAAATATCAATTATTGATATCATATGCAGCATTCTAACATCAAAATTTACATTGAGACACTGCCATTAGCAGGTTGGCGTTTGTTCATCATTGGAGAAGGAGAAGGCTGATCTTAGGCCAGAGTTCATTTGAGCATAAGCATTAATAAGTTGGAAGTTGTTTGCTTTTACAAAAAATTTCCTTAGTTATATGTAATATCTTACTATATAAAAGGGGGAAAAACTATTTCAAGCACCTGATTGTCGTGCCATTCTATCCATAGACATATGACTTGCAGCATGTCCTGCAATGGACGCATAAATGTATATATGTAGTCAAAGTTAATATCAGTTATCAGTATGATTTGCTACATTCAAACCACAATTTTTTTTACCTGGGATAGGCAATTTGAAGAAATGAAAACCCTAATTCATTATGATATCTCTTGGGCTTTATATAGGCCCCTACAAATCTTA